CAGTGACCTCAACAGGCGTAGGCGCAAGGGGGTCTACCTGAGAGACACCTGAAGGAGCAGGACCTGGCGCGGGGAGGGGGTCTACCTGGGGAGGACCTGGGGCGAGAAAAAGCGGCGGGGGGGGGGCGAGGAGCAGTGCGGTAGGGGAAGAGGCGGTAAAAGGGGACAGACTCGTCAAAGGTGACGTCCTGAGACGCAAAGACACGGCGCGAGGCGGGGTCGTAAACCTGCCAGCCAGGCGCGTCAGGGACAAAGCCAAGGAAGACGCAAGGAATGGCGCGAGGGGAGAGCTTGTCCGCGGTGGTATCGCGGACAAAGGCACGAGCACCCCAGACCCGGAAACGCGACGCGTCGCCAACCTTCCCCCGTCCACAGCAGTGTGGGCGAGGTCTCCGGCAAGGAGACACGAGGCCAAAGGTTGAGCTGATGCGCGGCGTACTGGACCGCAAACGGCCACAGAAAATGGGGGGCAGCCGCATGGATCATGGAGGTACGAGCGACCTCCATGACTAAGCCAATGCGGCGCTCAGCAACCCCATTCTGCTGCGGAAGAGGTCGGAAGCGTGAAAGTCTGGCGGATGCCGTGCTCCGCACAGAAGGCTGCCAAGAGGTCTGAGGAGAACTCACCACCTCTGTCAGAGTGCAGACGCAGGACAGGAAAGTCCGACTGGAACCGCTCGCGGAGCTGGAGACGAGTAGCGCGGGGATCAAAACATCAGGGACATCCCCCTTGCTCTGCAAGGGGAAGACCGTGGTGTAGCGCGAGTAGTCGTCGACAACCAGCAGGAAGTACCGCACGTGGCCTTGTCCACGGACGCGGGCTGGGCCCCACACGTCCAGGTGGAGAGTCTGTAGTGGAGCCTCTGTGGGAGGGAACGAGGAGGAGTGAGGAGCGGCGCGCTGCCGCCCCTCGACGCAGGGAATGCAGGGCGGCGCAGGCGAGGGAGGGAGGGGAGGCAGAGACCTGGGAAGACCAGAAACCAGGAAGCGGGAGTGCATGCTGCGTAGGCGAGGCAGGGAGGGGTGACCAAGGCGGTGGTGCCACAGGAGAGTGTCGTGCGACAGCCGGCGACACTCACACTGTGTAGCTACCTGAGCAGACGCGTGCAACTGGGGAGACAAAGGGGGCGGAGCGTGACGCAGTGGTGAGGGTGTACAAACTGGACCCTGGCGCCTACGAAGCGAACGTGGCCAGGTGGCGACCAGTCTGGGAGCACGTGCAAATCGCCACACGCTGCCGGCCAGGGGTGAAGGTGTCAACCCCCGCATCCTGGAGGACAGCGTTACTACCAAGTTCGTAGAGAACGAGGGGAGGTGGAGACCAGATAGCTTACCAGACGGGACCGCCGGAAACGGAAAGCACAGTGGAAGACCGTGCAAGCACTGGGCCCCCAGAGGGGTCACCCAGTGAGACAGGAACAGGTGCAGGGAGGGGAGTCACTGTGGTACTGTCGCGAAAGAAACAGCGGGAAGCACCAGAGTCAAGTGTAAAGGTGTGCAAAGCCTGTGCAGGCGCAGTACCAAGGGGAGCAGACTCACAAGCACCTAGTGCTGCAGGGGCTATACCAGGGGCCTATACCAGGATCCGGCGGCACACACAAGTAGCAGTCACCCTCAGCACTAACAGACAAGGCATACATAGCAGCAAGAATTGCCTCATAGTCAAGATCAAAGATAGGTACATCACGCCTAAGCAAGTCTGCCCAGTTGGGGAACTCAGGAGCATCAGGAAACTTGGCGCGCCAGGCGTCGCTAAGCCGAGCGAAGCAGCGCTGCTCAGTGTGAAAAACCTGTGCACTGGCGACCAGCGCGGGGACCTGTGCGGATGATATAGGGGCAGCGACCAGGACCCCCAGAAGCCCCACGCCCGGCATACCAGTCAAGAAGCTGCTGGGAAGTGGGGGTCTGGCGCTGACGCTGATGCTGCTGCCTGCGGCTGCTGCTGGCCCCTGACCACCAATGCCACTACCGCTCCCTCCTCCCCCACCGCCGCTGCTGCCCCCCTCCACCGCTCCCAGTGCCTCCGCCGCCCCCACCACCACCTCCACCGCCTCCACCCCCACGACCACCCCCACCACCTCCACCTCCCCCGCCGCCTGCACCACCGCCACCTCCACCGCCACCCCCACCGCCCCTTCCACCCCTGCCGCCCCTGCCGCTGCGACGCTTCCCACTAGGAGCGGAAGCAGCTCCGACCCCCTCAGCACCAAGGTAGTCGTGAGCAGCAGCTGCTTGAGGCGTAGGAGGGGTGAGAGGGGAGGGGGAGCACCCCTCAAAGAGGGGAGAGCGAGGAGTGCCACGAGCAGCACCTACAGCGAGGATGTTCTTCTCTGCTGCGAGGAGGTGCTTCTCGAAGTCGTCGACAGTGAGAGTGGTGGGGTCTAGCGCTAGGAAGTGGTCCCTGACAGAGCTAAGAGTGTCAGGAAGGCGGGTGGGACGAGGAAATAGAGAGTGAAGTACATCGGGGGGGGGGGGGGGGGGGGGGGTTTGCGGCGCAGAACTCGGCTGAAAGGGCGTCACGAGAGCGAGAGTCAGTAGCGCGCAGGTGAGAAACTAGGTCCTCAGCAGTGGTGAATGAGGAAAGATCGGGGAACAGGTACGGTAGCATGAGTCGACCTATGGCTGCAGTGGCCGGGGAGGAGTAGCGCGCAACTACAGCGTCGTACAGTGTCTTAGCAGTTCTGTGCTGGGTGAAGTGCGCCTCGCTCAGTAATCGGCAGGTGGTTCCTAATAGCTAAGCGTGCAGCAGCATCACGATGTCTGCCACTGGGAGCGTTCTAGAGCAGGAGCATCAGCAGCAGGAGTAACGGCAGTGCCAGAGACGTAATCAAACAGGGAAACGCCCTCTTTGGCATCAGTCAGAAGGAACAGCTGGAGATCGTCTAACCACACAGTGAACTCGATGGGACGACCGTCAGGCTCGAACGCTAGAACGTTAGGCGTCGCCATATTGGCTTAAGGCAGGAGGCAGCAGGCAGCAGGCAGCAGGCAGAGGCAGCAGGCACCAGGTAGGAGGCAGGAGGCAGAGGCAGGAGGCAGAGGCAGAGGCAGGGGCAGCAAGCAGCAGGCAGGCCGGCGGCAGGCAGCAGGCAGGCGGCAGGCAGGCAGGCAGCAGGCAGCAAGCAGGCAAGCGGCAGCAGGCAGCAAGCAGCAGGCAGGGTAGCAGGTAGGCAGCAGGCAGGCTGCAGGCAGGCGGCAGCAGGCAGCAAGCAGCAGGCAGGCAGCAGGCAGGCAGCAGGCAGGTGGCAGGCAGGCGGAAGCAGGCAGCAAGCAGCAGGCAGGTAGCAGGCAGGCAGCAGGCAGGGCTGCAGGTAGGCGGCAGCAGGCAGCAAGCAGGCAGGCGGCAGTAGGCAGCAAGCAGCAGGCAGGCAGCAGGCAGGAAGCAGGCAGACGGCAGCAGGCAGCAAGCAGCAGGCAGATAGCAGGAAGGTAGCAGGCAGGCTGCAGGCAGGCGGCAGCAGGCAGTAAGCAGGCAGGCGGGCAGCAGGCAGCAAGCAGGTAGGCAGGCAGGTGGCAGGCAGGGCGGCAGGAGGCAGCAAGCAGGCAGCAGGCAGGCTGCAGGCTAGGCGGCAGCAGGCAGCAAGCAGCAAGCAGGCAGGTGGCAGGCAGGCGGCAGCAGGCAGCAAGCAGGCAGGCCGGCAGCAGGCAGCAAGCAGCAGGCAGGCAGCAGGCAGCAGGCAGGAGCGGCCTGAGGGCTTGCGTTTATGGCGGTCTTGCTGCACGAGGCTGCAGGCTGCGTGTGGCTACGGGCAGCGCGCGCGGGCGCAGGTTGCGTGCGGCGATGAGCTGCGCGGGCTGCGGGCTGCTTGCAGCTACGGGCTGTGCGTGGCGACAGGCAGCCGTGCGCGGCTTGCAATTTTCGTGAGGCTGCGGGTAGGCTTAGTGGGTTACTCACTGTGGGGTACAACCCCTTAGGTTCTTCCTTGTACCAACTCTCTCGAACATCGACTTTTGCCTATGATTCTAACATGGTATAGAGCATAGGTCCTTAGGACCTACGATTAGGGCCCACCCACGCTTGCCTGCCTAGTCTAGTGCTACACGCGCCTCCGGCTGCCCGCGCGCACGTTTCGGTCTTTTTTTTTTTCCACGTGCGCCGCTTCAGCAGCCCGCGCAGCCCGTTCGGCCCCCACCTATTGCGACCCCTTAAGCAGCCCTGCGCGGCGCAACCGAGTTAGCCACGCCAGCGCGGCCCGTCGCCAGCGTAGCCCGTAGCTTAAGCGACCAGCCCGCAGCCGCGCACGTGCGACCCGTAGCCCAGCGCAGCCCGCAGCCGCACGCAGCTTGCCAGCAGCGCACGCTGCCTGTCGCCACGTGCAGCCCGCAGGCCCGCGCATTCCGTCGCCACACGCAGCCTGCCGGCCGCGCGCGTCTGCCCGTAGCACGCACTGCCTGCTGCCTACCTGCTGCTTGCTGGCCTACCTGCTGCTTGCTGCCTACTGCCGCCTGCCTGCTTGCTGCCCTGCTGCCGCCTGCCTGCAGCCTGCCTGCTGCTGCCTGCTGCCGCCTGCCTGCTTGCTGCCTGGCCTGCCGCCTGCCTACCTGCCTGCTTGCTGCCTGCTGCCGCACTGCCTGCTGCCTGCCTGCTGCCTGCCTGCTGCCCTGCCTTGCTGCTTGCTGCCTGCTGCCGCCTGCCTGCTTGCTGCCTACTGCCGCCTGCCTGCCGCCTGCCTACCTGCCTGCTTGCTGCCTACTGCCGACCTGCCTGCAGCCTGCCTGCTGTCTGCCTGCAGCCTACCTGACTGCCTGCCTGCTGCCTGCCTGCTGCTTGCCTGCCTGCTTGCTGCCTGCTGCCTGCCTGCTGCCGCCTGCCTGCTGCTGCCTGCTGCTGCCTGCCTGCCGCCTGCGCTGCTGCCTGCCTGCTAGCCTGCTGCGCCTGCCTGCTGCTTGCTGCCCCTGCCTCCTGCCTCTGCCTCCTGCCTCCTACCTGGTGCCTGCTGCCTCTTGTCTGCTGCCTGCTGCCTCTGCCTGCTGCCTGCTGCCTGCTGCCTTAAGCCAATATGGCGACGCCTAACGTTCTAGCATTCGAGCCTGACAGTCGTCCCATCGAGTTCGCTGTGTGGTTAGACGATCTCCAGCTGTTCCTTCTGACTGATGCCAAAGAGGGCGTTTCCCTGTTTGATTACGTCTCTGGCACTGCCGTTACTCCTGCTGCTGATGCTCCTGCTCTAGAACGCTCCCAGTGGCAGGGACTCGTGATGCTGCTGCACGCCTAGCTATTAGGAACCACCTGCCGATTACTGAGCGAGCGCACTTTCAGCCAGCACAGAACTGCTAATGACACTGTACGACGCTGTAGTTGCGCGCTACTCCTCCCCGGCCACTGCAGCCATAGGTCGACTCATGCTACCGTACCTGTTCCCCGATCTTTCCTCGTTCACCACTGCTGAGGACCTAGTTTCTCACCTGCGCGCTACTGACTCTCGCTTTCGTGCCGCCCTTTCAGCCGAGTTCTGCGCCGCAAACCCCCCCCCCAATGTTACTTCACTCTCTATTTCCTCGTCACCCGCCTCCCTGACACTCTTAGCTCAGTCAGGGACCACTTCCTAGCGCTAGACCCCACCACTCTCACTGTCGACGACTTCGAGAAGCACCTCCTCGCAAGCAGAGGAAGAACATCCCTCGCTGTAGGTGCTGCTCGTGGCACTCCTCGCTCTCCCCTCTTTGAGGGGTGCTCCCCCTCCCCTCTCACCCCCTCCTATGCCTCCGCAAGCTGCTGCTCACGACTACCTTGGTGCTTGAGGGGGTCGGAGCTGCTTCCGCTCCTAGTGGGAAGCGTCGCAAGCGGCAGGGGCGGCAGGGGTGGCAGGGGCCGGTGGGGGCTGGCGGTGGAGGTGGCGGTGGTGCAGGCGGCAGGGGAGGTGGAGGTGGGGGGGGGTGGTCGTGAGGGTGGAGGCGGTGGAGGTGGTGGTGGGGGCGGCGGAGGCCCTGGGAGCGGTGGAGGGGGGGCAGCAGCGGCGGTGGGGGAGGAGGGAGCGGTAGTGGCACTGGTGGTCAGGGCCAGCAGCAGCCGCAGCAGCAGCAGGCCAGCAGCAGCAGCAGCAGCAGCAGCAGCAGCATCAGCGTCAGTGCCAGACCCCGCACTTCCCAGCAACTTCTTGACTCTGATGCCGGGCGTGGGGGCTTCTGGGGGTCCTGGTACGCTGCCCCTATATCATCCGCACAGGTCTACCGGTCGCTGGTCGCCAGTGCACAGGTTTTCACACTGAGCAGCGCTGCTTCGCTCGGCTTAGCGACAGGCCTGGCGCGCCAAGTTTCCTGATGCTCCTGGAGTTCCCCAACTGGGCAGACTTGCTTAGGGCGTGAATGTACCTATCTTTGATCTTGACTATGAGGCAATTCTTGCTGCTATGTATGCCTTGTCTGTTAGTGCTGAGGGTGACTGCTACTTGTGTGTGCCGCCGGATCCTGGTATAGCCCCTGGTATAGCCCCTGCAGCACTAGGTGCTTGTGAGTCTGCTCCCCTTGGTGCTGCTGGTACTGCGCCTGCACAGGCTTTGCACACCTTTACACTTGACTCTGGTGCTTCCCGCTGTTTCTTTCGCGACAGTACCACAGTGACTCCCCTCCCTGCACCTGTTCCTGTCTCACTGGCTGACCCCTCTGGGGGCCCAGTGCTTGCACGGTCTTCCACTGTGCTTCCGTTTCCGGCGGTCCCGTCTGGTAAGCTATCTGGTCTCCACCTCCCCTCGTTCTCTACGAACTTGGTAAGTAACGCTGTCCTCCAGGATGCGGGGGTTGACACCTTCACCCCTGGCCGGCAGCGTGTGGCGATTTGCACGTGCTCCCAGACTGGTCGCCACCTGGCCACGTTCGCTCGTGCGCCAGGGTCCAGTTTGTACACCCTCACCACTGCGTCACGCTCCGCCCCTTTGTCTCCCCAGTTGCACGCGTCTGCTCAGGTAGCTACACAGTGTGAGTGTCGCCGGCTGTCGCACGACACTCTCCTGTGGCACCACTGCCTTGGTCACCCCTCCCTGCCTCGCCTACGCAGCATGCACTCCCGCTTCCTGGTTTCTGGTTCCCAGGTCTCTGCCTCCCCTCCCTCCCTCGCCTGCGCCGCCCTGCATTCCCTGCGTCGAGGGGCGGCAGCGCGCCGCTCCTCACTCCTCCTCGTTCCCTCCCACAGAGGCTCCACTACAGACTCTCCACCTGGACGTGTGGGGCCCAGCCCGCGTCCGTGGACAAGGCCACGTGCGGTACTTCCTGCTGGTTGTCGACGACTACTCGCGCTACACCACGGTCTTCCCCTTGCAGAGCAAGGGGGATGTCCCTGATGTTTTGATCCCCGCGCTACTCGTCTCCAGCTCCGCGAGCGGTTCCAGTCGGACTTTCCTGTCCTGCGTCTGCACTCTGACAGAGGTGGTGAGTTCTCCTCAGGACCTCTTGGCAGCCTTCTGTGCGGAGCATGGCATCCGCCAGACTTTCACGCTTCCGGGCCTCTCCGCAGCAGAATGGGGTTGCTGAGCGCCGCATTGGCCTTAGTCATGGAGGTCGCTCGTACCTCCATGATCCATGCGGCTGCCCCCCATTTTCTGTGGCCGTTTGCGGTCCGGTACGCAGCACATCAGCTCAACCTTTTGGCCCCGTGTCTCCTTGCCGGAGACCTCGCCCACACTGCTGTGGACGGGGAAGGTTGGCGACGCGTCGCGTTTCCGGGTCTGGGGTGCTCGTGCCTTTGTCCGCGATACCACCGCAGACAAGCTCTCCCCTCGCGCCATTCCTTGCGTCTTCCTTGGATTTGTCCCTGACGCGCCTGGCTGGCAGTTTTACGACCCCGCCTCGCGCCGTGTCTTTGCGTCTCAGGACGTCACCTTTGACGAGTCTGTCCCCTTTTACCGCCTCTTCCCCTACCGCACTGCTCCTCGCCCCCCCCCGCCGCTCTTTCTCACCCCAGGTCTTCCCCAGGTAGACCCCCTCCCCGCGCCAGGTCCTGCTCCTTCAGGTGTCTCTCAGGTAGACCCCCCTGCGCCTGCGCCTGTTGAGGTCACTGGTGACTCCGGTCCTGCTGCGAGTGGTGCTGTCCCGGGGGTGCGGAGCTTGGGGGTGCTGAGTCTGGGGACGCTGAGCGTGTGGAGCCTGGAGGTGCTGAGCCTGCGCATGAGGAGCCTGGAGGTGCTGTGTCTCGGGGTACTGCGTCTGGAGGTGCTGCGTCTCGAGGTGCTGCGTATGGAGGTTCTGCGTCTGGAGGTGCTGCGTCTGGGGGTGCTGAGCCTGTGTGTGCGGAGACTGGGGGTGCTGAGTCTGGGGGTGAGTTGCCTGAGGGCTCTGAAACTGCTGTTACGCAGTCTCCTTGGAGTAGCCGTCTTCGTCCGCATGTGCGTGTGCCCCTCACCTCCCAGCAGCTGCACGACTGGTACGGTCGCCGTCAGCGTCCCACTTCTGCACCTCAGGGCTCTCCTGCTGGAGGTTCTTCTGCTGGTGTCGCTGGTCCCGGAGGTGCTCGTACTGGGAGTGCTGGAGCTGCTGGGGCTGGTGGTGGTACCGCTGGAGGTGCTGGAGCTGCTTAGGGTACTGGAGCTGCTGGAGCTGCTGGGGGTGCTGGAGCTGCTGGAGGTGCTGGAGCTGCTGGAGGTGCTGGAGCTTTTGGGGGTGCTGGAGCTGCTGGAGGTACTGGAGCTGCTGGAGGAGCTGGTGCTGCTCGTGCTGGTGGCACTGCTCAGCCCGCGCCTGCTCTTTGCTCCGCCGTCTCCGTCGTCGTCGCAGCCACCACCTGACTCTGCACTTCGCCAGGTTCTCAGTCTTCCCTCGTCTACTGGTCTTCCGTTACAGCCTGGCTCACCGCTGCCTGCTCCTTCTCCGTACACAGAGCAGCCTGGTGGCCTTGCAGAGCGTCGTGAGCCTGTGTCGCTTCCTGTCTCCCCTGTCAGTTCCGGTCGTTGTGTTCCTCGTCAGAGCCAGCCGGCTGTCTCCGGCCCTCCCCTTGTAGTTCGTCGTCCTTCCTCTCCTTCACCGCGTGTTCCTCTGCCGCCTCCCCCTGCGTCCTCTCTGCCTGCATCTGACCGGTTTCGTGCTGAGCACTCTACTGTCACGCGTCTGCTTGCCACTGTTGTCACTGACCCGTCGTTTGAGTCTGCTGCTGCGTCCGCCTTAGTCACTGAGCTTGTTGCCTTTGCTGCTCACTGTCGTCTAGACTACGCCGCCAGTCTTGTTGCTGAGTCTGCGTCTGTCTGTCCTCCGTCCGTCGGGGTGTGAGTGTGCTCTTGGCACGGACGTCCTTGAGGACAGGCAGGAGGACCTTGAGTGTCTTGCAGCCGCTGCGCCTCATCTCGTATCCATGCTGCTTGCCCCTGAGGGAGACCCGGATGCACCAGACATCCCTACCCCGCGCTCTTACGCTGAGGCGATCGCGGGTGAGTACTCCTCTCAGTGGCAGACAGCCATGGACGCATAGATGGCATCCTGGAAGTCCACAGGCACCTACGTCGACGAGGTTCCCCCTCCTGGGGCGAACATTGTCAGTGGCATGTGGATTTTCAGGGTGAAGCGGCCGCCAGGTTCTCCGCCTGTCTTCAAGGCTCGTTACGTGGCTCGAGGCTTCAGTCAGCGAGAGGGAGTTGACTTCTTCCAGACCTTCTCCCCCACCCCGAAGATGACCACTCTTCGGGTGCTGCTGCACGTTGCCGCTCAGCGTGACTACGAGCTTCACTCTTTGACTTCAGCACAGCCTTCTTACAGGGCAGCCTGCACGAGGAGATTTGGCTGCGCCGCCCTCCTGACTTCACTGGGTCGTTCCCTCCTGGTACCCAGTGGAGCCTCCGGCGGCCGGTCTACGGTCTCCGCCAGGCGCCATGTGAGTGGCACGACACACTGAGGACGACACTTGCGGCTCTTGGGTTTGCTCCGTCGACTGCTGACCCGTCGCTGTTTTTGCGCACCGACACTTCGCTGCTGCCGTTCTACGTTCTCGTGTACGTCGACGACTTGGTCTTTGCCACTGCTGACACTGAGGCTCTCGCCCTGGTGAAGTCGGAGCTGCAGAAGAGACACACGTGCACAGACCTGGGTGAACTGCGCAGCTACCTTGGCTTGCAGATCACCTGGGACAGAGCACGCCGCACCATCACACTGACTCAGTCACACATGGTGCAGCAGGTCCTTCAGCGCTTCGGTTTCACCTGGTCCTCAGCACAGGCCACTCCTCTGGCTACAGGTCACTCGCTCTCAGCTCCACCTTCGGACGAGTCCGTAGAGCCGAGTGGTCCTTACCCAGAGTTAGTGGGCTGCCTCATGTACCTGATGACTTGCACTCGTCCTGACCTTGCGTACCCTCTTGGCCTTCTGGCTCGTTACGTGGCTCCTGGTCGGCACCGAAAGGTGCACATGGATGCTGCCAAGAGGGTACTACGCTACTTGTGCAGTACATCGGGCATGGGGCTCGTGCTTGGAGGACGGGGGTGACGTTGTCCTCAAAGGTCACTCTGACGCCTCTTGGGTTGACGACCAGGCTACGCAGCGGTCGTCACAGGGTTACACCTTCAGCCTTGGTTCTGGTTCAGTTTCCTGGCGTTCTACACGTTCGTCTTCAGTTCTCAGCTCCAGCTGTGAGGCAGAGATCTACGCCACAGCCATGGCTGCACAGGAGCTGCGCTGGCTCACCTACCTGCTGACTGACTTGGGAGAGGGGCCTCGTTCTCCTCCAGTTCTGTACGTCGACAACAAGGCCGCCATTGCCTGTGTCAGGAGCACAGACTGGAGCACAGAACAAAGCACATCGCTCTCCGTTACTTTCTTGCTCGAGAGCTGCAGCAGCGTGGCCAGCTTCGTCTTACCTACGTGGCCACTCGGGCCAACAATGCTGATATATTCACCAAGGCGCTTCCGCCTGGTGATCATCAGCGTTTCTGCACTTTGTTAGGCCTTGTGCCCACACTTCCTCACTTGCTGTAGGCTTTGTTTGTACCATGATTTATATGTATTCCTGCATGCTTGTTCTTGTTGGTAGATATCACCGTACTGTTGTTGTTACATATATATTTCTGCATGTGAACAGCAAGCAGGATATAACTGAAAGATAACTTTGACAAATACATACATACAACATTGTACTAAAAAGCGTTCCTGCTTTTCACATGAAATTTCTGTTCTAAGATTGCTGGTATTGTCTATTTCGCCTTACATTTCGTCGTTTAGATGCTGTGCACCAGGAATTCTTTAGATGCTTATTATTTGTTTGGAACAACCTTCACAATGTTTAGATGCTTCGCAAGCTGCATGTTGTCCCCGTGCAAAAAAATCGAGAACGACATAACAAAGGCTGAGCCTGGCCAGTTACACCAACCCTCCCCGCAAAAATCGGCTGTTTTGAACTACGTTAGGCTGCTCGGTCCTTTGAGCAAGACCATTCCCCTGCGTCTGACGATAGAGCCGTTTGGAGTGTCAATATGAAAAACTACGCTGATATGAGAAGCTACGCTCATACGATAAATGTTAGAGTGCCCTACCGACGCCGCTGTTTGGGGGCTCTTCGCTGGGTCTAAAGGGCGGCGGCGGCGGCGGCTGGGGGGTGGGATTATGAAGGGGAGGCAGAGATGAGGACGCTGGCAGCATGTGCGGCGCTGGTGCTGGCGGCGTGCGCGATCAGTGTGCGCGGTGCTGGTGCTGGCGGCGTGCCCGATCATGGCGCGCGCGACCAGCGTGTGCGGTACTAGTGACGAAGGGTGCTGGTGGCATGCGAGGTCATCGACAAAGTGGACGAGTAGCTGAGATTCTTGAGGCGCCTCAAAAGTCGACACTGTTAGAATATATCTGTAACTGCCTGTAGCTGTAGTTAGTAAAGTTATTATAATCCTGCTAGGTGGTGTACCATTTGCCTAATTCCTTGCCTATATCTTGTATGCCCTCTACTATTGAACCCCTCTTTGCCTAAACTCCCTCGTCTCCCTTTGGCCTAGGCTACTAAGCCTAGGCCCTACCATTCCTACTCTTACTTTCAACATGGTATTCAGAGCAGGCATTTCCTGCTGCCTTCCTTAACGGGCCCACCAGTTTGCTTCCACTGCCTGTCGTCCTGTCGCGCGCCTCGGGCGCGCGGCGATTTTCTGCCCGCCGTGTGCTCGGGGCGCACGGCGGTTTTCTGCCCGCCGTGCGCCCCGGGCGCGCGGCGTCTGCCTGCCTGCCTGCCTGCCTGCCTGCCCGTCGTGCGCCCCGTGGCGCGCGACGGTGCCCTGAGCCGCCGCGGACCCGCCCCTGGCGCCCGCGACGGTGCCTTGAGCCGCCGCGGACCCGCCCCTGGCGCCCGCGACGGTGCCTTGAGCCGCCGCGGACCCGCCCCTGGCGCCCGTGACGGTGGCCTGAGCCGCCGCGGACCCGCCCCTGGCGCCCGCGACGGTGCCCTGAGACGCCGCGGACCCGCCCCTGGCGCCCGCGACGGTGCCTTGAGCCGCCGCGGACCCGCCCCTGGCGCCGCGCCGACGGTGCCCTGAGCCGCTGCGGACCTGCCCCTGGCGCCCGCGACGGCGCCTCTGCCTCACCTCGCGCCTGCCTTCGAGCAGCCGCCCCTGACTCACCCGCGTCTGCCCTCGGAGCAGCCGCCCCTGCCTCACCCGCGCCAGCCGCCCCTGGCCCCTGGAGCAGCCGCCCCTTGTGCAGCCGCCCCTGGACCCCGCGACGCCGCCTCCCTGTGCTGCCCGTTGCTGCTCCCCCCCCCCCCCCCCCTCCCCCCCCCCCCCCCCCCCCCCCCCTTCTTCGTCTCACTGCTGCGCGTGCAGCCGTGGAACGGAGGGTATGGGGGTGGCGGGTATGGGGGTGATGGGTGGTGTGTTTCCCTTCCCTCCTCCTCCTTTCGTTCCCACTGCTGCAGCTGCCGCTGGGGGGAGGGTGTGAGGATGTGGGGGAGCCAGGGGAGTGGCATTGGGGTGGCGGGTGTGAGACCAATCAGCCCCCGTCCCTCTGAGGGGGGAGGGGGGGGAGGAGAGTCAAGGGGTTGCAGGAGTGCCTGCCCTTTGCTGCTGTACCTGCTTTGTTACCTTGCCGGCTGTTGCTGTTTTCTCTGTTCGTGGTGTACCCATCCAGGATGTGTCGCTGCACAGACTCCTGCTGCAGGCAGTTATGGGGGAGTGTTAGAATATATCTGTAACTGCCTGTAGCTGTAGTTAGTGTAGTTATTATAATCCTGCTAGGTGGTGTACCATTTGCCTAATTCCTTGCCTATATCTTGTATGCCCTCTACTATTGAACCCCTCTTTGCCTAAACTCCCTCGTCTCCCTTTGGCCTAGGCTACTAAGCCTAGGCCCTACCATTCCTACTCTTGCTTTCAACAGACACAGTGGACGAGTTGCTGGGATTCTTGAGGCGCCTCAACAGTCGACACAGTGGACGAGTTGCTGGGATTCTTGAGGCGCCTCAAGAGTCGACACAGTGGACGAGTTGCTGGGATTCTTGAGGCGCCTCAAGAGTCGACACAGTGGACGAGTTGCTGGGATTCTTGAGGCGCCTCAAGAGTCGACACAGTGGACGAGTTGCTGGGATTCTTGAGGCGCCCTCAAGAGTCGACACAGTGGACGAGTTGCTGGGATTCTTGAGGCGCCTCAAGAGTCGACACAGTTGACGAGTTGCTGGGATTCTTGAGGCGCCTCAAGGGTCGACACAGTTGACGAGCTGCTGGGATTCTTGAGGCGCCTCAAGAGTCGACACAGTGGACGAGTTGCTGGGATTCTTGAGGCGCCTCAAGAGTCGACACAGTTGACGAGTTGCTGGGATTCTTGAGGCGCCTCAAGAGTCGACACAGTGGACGAGTTGCTGGGATTCTTGAGGCACCTCAAAAGTCGACACAGTCGACGAGTTGCTGGGATTCTTGAGGCGCCTCAAAAGTCGACACAGTGGACGAGTTGCTGGGATTCTTGAGGCGCCTCAAAAGTCGATACAGTGGACGAGTTGCTGGGATTCGGCGGGGCGCGACGGGCGGCTGGATTGGTGCGATGCGTGCCGCAAATCATCCCCATGTAGACGGAAGGGGAATGACAATGAACTGTGGGGAAGGGTGAGGAACGGTAGGGAATGGTGGGGAATGTGCGACGGACGGCTGGACAGGTGTGATGTGTGCCGCAGGTCATCCCAGGTAGGCGGAAGGGAAGTGACAAGGAACGGAGGGAAGAAATGGTGGAGCATGGCAGGTAATGGTGAGGATTGTGAACGGGTGGGATGTGTGCCGCACCGCAATGATTCCAGGTATGTGCAAGGGGAGTGGGTGGGGGATAGGAAGGAAGGGAGGGGAAGGGTGGGGAAGAGTGGGAAAATTTAGGCCCTCCCTTTTCCCCCCCTCTTATTGAACCTGCACCGCAATTGCATATGAACTGCCTTTATTACATGGGAGTTTGCATACATGGCTCCCTACCCTTACTGGAACCAAAGTAGTATCCATGGAATAGACGACAACCTACGCGCTTGACTTTGTGGTAAATAAGAGCAAAAAGAGCAACGCCAATGACACATGGCAAATACACTACACCAAGGCCCACGTTCCAGAAGCACTGTATCTATGACATGGGAGACAATAAGCAGACCTAGACTACAAATTGCTGATGAGAGCGATGCCAATGATGGTGCGTTCAATACACTACATCGGGGTCCACGTGCCGTTATTCCTGCCCCTTGCCAGAAGCAGCCCTGTACCCATGGCATGGGTGACAAAAAGCAGACTCGACTACAAACTGCTGATGAGACGACGCCCAATGATGGCATGTTCATCATGACACTACATCGGGGTCCACGTGCCGTTATTCCTGCCCCTTGCCGGAAGCAGGGCTGTATCCATGGCACGGGAGACAAAAGCAGACTCAGCAACATAATGCTGACAAGGCAGCGGCGGCCAATGATGGCGTGTTCATGATGACTCTACACCGGGGTCCACGTGCGGTGTTCCTGACCCTGGATGGGAGCAGCACGGTATCGACCGCGTGGACGACAATCGATGGGCTCGAGTACATGTTGCCGATCAGAACACGCGCGCCCTCTGTGTCCTCCATCCTGTATAACTTCAGCCAGTAGTCCGTCTGATTCTTCTTCAGCGGTAGTTTGTCGAGGGTTTCCAACTGCAATGATTATAAAGGGTATAGAGAAGGATTACAAGAGGGATGAGTGTATGGAGGATGTGGTTGGGGATGAGGAGAGGCGGGAATTCAGGTAAGGATGAGGTGAGAGGTGTAGGAATTGGTGTTTGTACGGGGAAGGATATTGCTTTTCAATTTTACCTGAAACCCATTCCCAAGGGCCTTGATGTCGTCTAGTTCCATCCGACGTGGCAGCACGTGATAAGCCATCACCTGCCAGAGAATGCTCTTCTTCCGTTGCAGTCCACCAAAGCGCGTGTTCTTGGGCATGCGGAAATAGGCTCCATTGGTTGGCGCAAAGATCGTAACGTTCTTGGTGAGGAGTGTATTCATCAGCGTCTCATTCATACCTGTAAACATGGAACAATGTGCAGGGTCAAAGATGAATACAATCAGTTACACAAGCGCAGAAAAACATTATTTGTAGGCACATGAAAGTGCACTACTGAAAAGGATTGTAGAGAAGATGAAGGGCAACTCACCGCTCATTCGGATGCCCGTTGCAACCCCCGTGAATTTCCGCTCGTACAGAAACGACAGAACCTCGTTCACTTTCGCCAGCGTTGCCTCCTGCTCCGCTGTCAGGATAGGACCCGGCGCTCCGCCCGGCGCTCCGCCTGAACCTCCGCTTGACCCTCCGCCTGACCCTCCGCCTGACCCTCCGCCTGACCCTCCACCTGACCCTCCGCCTGACCCTCCGCCTGACCCTCCGCCTGACCCTCCGCCTGACCCTCCGCCTGACGCTCCGCCTCCGGAGCCCGCTTCCCCCTCCATTCTGGCTCCCCCCTCCACCGCTCGCTTGCCCTCCGCTGCCGGTCTGACTCCCCGTCCCGCTTCCCGTCCCACTCCCCGTCCCACTCCCCGTCCCACTCCCGTTCCCCCACCAGTTTTCCTCCGCTCCCCGTCCCACTTCCCCCTCCGCTCCCCCCTCCGTGGATCACATCTCCGCCATCCCTGAGGATTTCCCGGATTTAGATCCAGCGTCCATTCCCGAACCAGTTCCCGAACCAGTTCCCAAGCCTCCACCCGTGCCAGTTCCTTTCCCCGAGCCAGATCCGGAGCCCCTTGAGTTCCCCCCCCCCTTTCCCCTTCCCCTTGCCTCCACTGCTTCCCTTTCCCGTTCCCGTAATTCCCCCCGCGCCTGTCCCCGTACCCCCCCCGCGCCTGCCCCCGTACCCCCCCCGGCGCCTGTCCCCGCACCCCCCCCGCGCCTGTCCCTGTACCTTTCCCCGCGCCTGTTCCCGTGCCAGTCCCCGTACCTGTTCCCGCGCCGGTACCCGTACCTTTCCCTGCACCTGTCCCCGTACCTTTCCCCGTACCTGTTCCTGTCCCCGCGCCTGTCCCCGTACCTTTCCCCGTGCCTGTTCCTGTCCCCGCGCCTGTCCCCGTACCTTTCCCAGTGCCCGTCCCCGTACCCTTCCCCGCACCAGTACCCGTTCCTTTTCCCCCTCCTGTCCCCGTACCTTTCCCCGCTCCTGTCCCTGTACCCTTCCCCGCGTCTGTTCCCGTACCCTTCCCCGCGCCCGTTCCCGTACCCTTCCCCGCGCCCGTTCCCGTACCCTTCCCCGCGCCCGTTCCCGTACCCTTCCCCGCGCCCGTTCCCGTACCCTTCCCCGCGCCCGTTCCCGTACCCTTCCCCGTACCCGTTCCCGTACCCTTCCCCGCACCCGTTCCCGTACCCTTCCCCGCACCCGTTCCCGTACCTTTCCCCGCACCTGCCCCAGTACTTTCCCCGCGCCGGACCCAATTTCCGGCACCTTCCGATCTCCGGTTCCCGTTCCTTTGCTCCCCGCCGGTCCCCGCACCCGTCCCCGCGCCCTTGCCTGTGCCGACACCCGTCCCAGCGCTGGTTGATTTTCCGGTCCCGGAAGATTTCCCCGTGCCGGCCGTTGTCGTCATCGCCATGAGATTGATCGTGCGATCAGAGCCGTCGGTGGCAGACGCCGTTTTTACGGATAGCGGGGAACCACCACTGCCGATGTCCGGTGCTACACCGAGGTCGGTGCTCACGCCGAACGATGTGCTCTCATCGGGGAGTTGACCCGCCGCAGAGGCGGAAAGCCACGGCGATTCGACGATGGCGACCAGCAGGAGGAGCGGGAGCAGGGCTGACGGGGTCAGCAGGGTTAGGCCGAGTGGGGCTACGGCGGAATGAGGAACGTGGGATGACATGCGCCGCGATCGCGCCGACGCCATGGCTGAGGCTGTCATCGAGCTGATGATGCGCTGCGCCGTCGCCGGTTACGGGCAGCGTCGCCGGTTACGGGCAGCGTAACGAAGATTTTGTTGAGTCTCACTAACCCGTTCACGTAGAATTTTCAGTGGGAGGAACTACTGGCGCGAGAAGGAAATTCGTGCCGAAGGTCTGATTCACCGTCGAGACGAGCTTCAATTATGCAAACGCCGAGATGGAGAGTAGCATTCAAGAACCCCAGGGGAATCCTATCTACACCCTCGTGCAGCTCGCGAGCAGATATGACAAACGAGTGACGTTTGATACGTGATACGTGGAGCGCGCTGACGATGTCTGGTCGAGCACCGACTAGATTTAATGAAAGGAAACGATGTCTGCGGAGAGTTGAAGAGAGCGCCTCAGGTCGCAAGAGTGGTCTGTTGGTAAAAAGCATCGAAATCAAACATCGTGAAGTCCTCGGTGTTTATGATATGTTGCGGCCGGGTGGGAGCACTGGAACCTATTCGTGAGTCGAGACCTAGTGGGCCCTATTTTGCGTTTTGGAACACCGCACCGACAAAGACAGATGTCAATATCGACGAAGCCAAGCAATGCAGAGGCATGCTGGGCAGGAAGAATGGGGGGAGGGGAGGAAAGGGTGACCTGGGTAAATTTGAGAGTGGAAGAGTGGGGTTGGTGGGAGGAAGGGATTAGCGGCAGAATCCAGATTTCCAATGTCGAAAGGTTTTCTCCGACCGCGGGCGACTCGCCACACTTCGCTAACGAGTGTGGGCTTGGTGGCTGGATGCGTTTTTGCCACTGATTCCCCCACAACACCAGCTCCCTGATTGCTGGGCAGCGAGTTGCCGCAATGTGGCCGACGCGTGGGTATCATGCGACTCGGAATTCAAACTGTTTGAACGAACATCTGAAATGTCGGAGATTTTTCGGCAGCTTGGCTTCAGCTTGGCTTCAGGTGTATCTCTGAGACAGCTGTACTGCCGACTTACAAACTGGGGTACACGTGGACCTTACAGACACCAAAAGGGGCCAGCATTCTGCTGACGAGGTAATGTACTCTCCATTCAGTGCCTCATATTAGAGCAGGAATCATGGTTTACAGTTTCCGTGATACATGGTGAAAATAGCACGTGTTGTACGTTTTTACAGAGTAGCCGAAATGATTCACGTAGCTATCGATTTTTTCAGCTTAAATTGATAGTCAAATATATAAATAAAAGGCATAAAGTATTATTCTAACAAAAACACAGAAAATATCTGCACCAATAATAACAAAATATAATATATAAAAAAAGGCAAAGTTTTGTTTTTGTAAACCCATTTCCATGTTGACTTGTTCTACTATTTCTGGTATTGTCCACTTCTATTGAAAGCCTATGATTTCCTCGCTCAAGTGTTATGTGCTATGCCAGCTGTTCGCTGTCCCATGCAGAAAACGGAGGACGACACAACCGAGGTAAGGATTGTAGTTTCCTGCCAGCTCTACCAATTCTCCCCGCAAAAAGCGGCTGTTTCGAACTAGGTTGGCCCACTCGGCACCTCGAGATCACACTCACGTGTCTCACGCGGCGTTTAGATTCCATCGCGGCGCGTCGAGCAGGAGAAACCAATCTCATATGAATAGCCGAGGAATCGATGTGAGGTGCTTTGAAACCTCTCGAGATCCTCATTCTTCGCCTGGTTTTTGTTGTTCTGTCCTCTCAGAAGTCGAAGTTCGTGTATATCTGAGGGAAGAAAAGATCGTGAGTTCATGTACGCCAATGCCTTCCCCTCTCCGGTTCGGAATCGCAGTCGATCTTCGCTAGAAGACAGAGGAAGCCGAAACTCGCTGCAAGAGTTCTCGTTAGAAGCAACAGACCTCAAACCAGCACCATCATCTCCCGCACCTGCGAACTCCAATCCTTCTTCGTCCTCCTCCGCTGCTGCCGCCGGTGCCGCGGGCCGCGGTCTCAGCCCTCATCCCCGCAGCAGGCGGCATTTTCTCACGCTTAAGCATGTTCCGTTCTAGTCCGGTATCGGGCGGCAGGTACGTATCTCAAGTCCGACCCGAGCCGCGCGTCGGAAAGGACGGCGGCAGCGACATCGACGAAGGCGACTCCGTCCACGACGAAGCTTCATCGCTGCTTCGCTCGGACGCGAGACCGTTTCCTACGTCCGTCGGTGTTGCTTGGGGCATCTTCGGCGGGTCTTACGGCGGCGGGAGCGGGGGCGGGTTTAGGAAGGGGAATCGGAGACTAAGGACG